ATAGATAGATAGATAGATAGATAGATAGATAGATAGATAGATAGATAGATAGATAGATAGATAGATAGATAGATAGATAGATAAAAATATAGATATGTGACCCTTTTGGCAAAAAAAAAAAAAATAAATAAAAATAAGGACCTAAAACCACTGACTTTTTAAATATAAATTTAATTTTACATTTAAAACCTATTTAAAATATGGTGATAACTTATAACACTTATTTCTCTATTTTGTAAACACATTATCTGTATTTACATGCATGCATATATGCAAATGATTACTATATTATTAATTTGCCAAATATTAATTCTAATTTGTTCTGTTCCTCTAACAGGTAAAGGAGTAGATAGGTCTTGACGTGCTTTAAATCTTTTGTATATACTATTTGATACACCTTTTTACTATGAGTATGTCCTAGTACTCAAGCCCAAAAGAATAATTCATACACCATATAAAACCAAGTTTCAGTTCAAGTAAAAAAGCTAAAATGTTACCTATCCATTACAGACACAGGAGGCCACAGCATAGCATATGGTCTGTTACAGCTACTGAAGTTTTTAATTATTACTTACATGGGCAAGGAGAACAGTTCAAAGCTGCTTCCAACTGAGCATCTGCTGCTTCTTACATCCCTGACAGAAGATGTGCAGTATGTATAGTAGAGCCAGATCAAGTGGTGTATATACATCAGCTTAAGCCATACATTTGCTGCAAGCATTGCTGCCCTATCTGTTGCTTACTGATAAAAGTACCTTCTCACACAAAAGACTAGCAAGCACCTTTTATGAAAAACAAAAGGGATCCAAATAAATATTTAGTGAATCTTAAGCAAAACAAAGCAGCTATCCTGGGACATACTCCACAAAAAAGTCAAACTCTTAGGACAATCCTGGTATTAAGGGAACACAAAGGCATAGTGATGAGCATCAAGCTCTATAGCAGCCATACTCTAGCAACAGAATCAACTTCTAAGTCTCTTATGCAGCTTAACACATCCTGAAGGCTGGTTCCTCACAAGACTGTTCTCTTCTTCTTCAGTCTTTATTTCTCCCATCATCTGTCCCTCAGTACAAAAGCGGTGTTATTCAGAACAAGAAGCACTGGGGCTTTGAAGGGACTGTGGCAAGGGAAACGGGAACAAGGCTGGTAACTACAGGTGTATGGAAGTCCATAAAGTGTAGGGTTTGTAGCAGAGAGATCAGGAACGGCTGCATGAGAAGAGAACATGATTTTTTTTAACTTAAGTACAACCATTTGGAGAAGGAAAAGATGTGGATGAGACACAGGGTGTTCAATTCATTAATCCCAGTAGGTCACTGAGGTGGAGGGAGATGCAGCGCCTGGGGGGATGCTGGAGTATGGGAAGATGTGAATGCTTGTGTGGCAGCAAACAGGCTGCAGCAGCACTACTGCAGAAAGCAAGAACAGAGCTCTGAAACTGAAATGCTTGAGAAACTGTTACAGCAATTCAGTCTTCATGCAGGTTTAAACGAATAACAAAGGAACTTCAAATGGCATAGGAGAAGCCAGAACTCTTCATCAACTGACTGAATGGTGTTAAAAAGACACAAGAAAGGATTTGGCTTACCTCTTTGTGATACCAGCACACTCAAACAAATTCAGTTCTGTAGAGACACAGTGGCACATGATCACAGTAAAAGAGATCTTTTATTGCTTTGAAGCAGAAACAAATATATAATTTACAGGCATTCTTGTGTGTAGGTATAATAAACCTCAAGAGAAGAGCTTGGAGTACTATCCCTTTTTAAAAGTTCAGTTCTCAATTAAGCTTCAAAAGTTGTAGAAAACAATGCAGCATAACCAATTTTTTTTCTTTTGCTAATGTAACAGTTGAGAAGAAAATCCTTGGTCTCAAAATAATTTTTACCCCTTTTGAAGTCAGTTGAAAAGTTTATTTTTTACTTAAATAAAAAACAATAAAAGAGCAATTTCTTGGTAGTCTGGTAACACCATCATCCAGCTGGAATTCCCATTTGGTTATGAAGCAATTGAAGTAGAATCTTCAAGAAAAATAAATTTACGTTTGTCCTGAGCATCTCTTCATTTCTAATTTGAAAGTCTTTTAAAGAAAAGATGTGTGGAGGGTTGGGTTCTTATTTGGAAAGATTTCTAGCTTCGCCTTTTTTTAAAAAAAAAATGTTTTATAGATTATGAAAATACGAAGGCCTAACAATACCCACATTTGCAAATTTTTCACTTGTGTTCATGTGTTCAAAGCCTACTCTCTGTATTACCAGTTCCCCAAAGCATGACCTACTTGCACACAGAAATCAGATTTCTTTTTAGTAGTAATGTTTGGAAGGACAAAGTGGACAAGAACAAAGGAGCAAACATTAGAAACACATGCCTTTTGCTTTAAGAGTCTGGATCTCAGATTACCCTTTTTTTTGAGGTAATGCATTTAGAGGCAAATTCTGAAAACAAAATTTCTAAACTCTTCCTCTTATATTGTGTGTGTTTTAAAACTAAGAAGGTGTCATCAAAAAAAAAGTAAAAATTAAAAAAAAGTATTTTGTGTTTAACAGCTTTGAACAACTCTGAAACTGAACTTCATATGACTGCTGTGTTGTAGCTAAATGATTACTGTATCGTACATGAGATGGGATGTACAAAATCCTCAAAAAAGAAAATACCTACACGTTTGCAATGAACTGGGTTTTTATCTTCAGCAACTTCTGCACAGTGATTGATCTAGTACTGTACAACAATTGGCAACTAAAGGCTTCCATTCATCCTGCATTAGATCCTACAAATCCTGTTAACCACAGGAGCAAAAGTAGAAGAAGAGGAATCAACAAAACTAAAAAGTGCTTATTGTAAGCTTTATGAAATTTGTCCTTTGCTGAAAAAGATGAAAACTCTGAACAGACTGCAGACACAAGAGTGTTTAATGTAGGATTATAACTCAATTAAGACAACTATTTCTCTGATCCTGTAATTCTAATGCATTTTGCAGATGTCTCTAATACAATTTTCTTTTTGTTCTCCATAATATAAGCTCACATTTTATAAAAATACATATTTAGTCTTCTGTCTAGGAAAATAATCTTCACAATGGAGGTAGAATGATATATGACTTTTCTAGATTAATCTAAAATAAGGTAAGATAAATTAACATATCCAACAATAACTGTGATAATTCATATATGTATATATGGCATTAACAGTAAAGCCTAACCGATACCCTTGTATCCTTGTATTCCTTAAGGAATGCTTGGACCATGTCCCAGAGCACAGGAAAAAGAGATTCCTAGCTCAGCACAAGCCATGCCAACCTCAGAACTGGAGGCAGAGTCACACAAAGGGCTGCACATGCAAGTTGTACAAGACTGCAACTTCAGACTCCAAGCCAGCCTGGAGACTGCTGCGCTATGCTTCACTACAGGAATAAACATGCCCTTTCTTTGTTCCAATATGAACAAAAGTGCATCTGCACTATCATTAATCACATAAGACTGTTTTGCTTCAGATTTGTCAAAACTAATTCAGGTTTGCTGAATTTAGTGACAGAGAAAGGATTTATCTAGACAGGGAGGAACTGGAAAAGGTTATATAAACTTTGCTAGCATAGCCAGACAAATTAAATTGCTAATCAATGCCTAAACAAAAGGTCATGATTAGCTCAGGGTTAACTAAAACTTCTTAGCTAATCTCTGACCTAATTTTGACCTCTCTTGTTAATTGCAGAAAGGCTTTCAGTTAATATATTGTGTAGCTGTGTTTACACCCTCTACTTCTGTAGTTTCTCACCTTGCAGCTCATAAATCAAAGACAAAGTATCTTTTTCTAAGACTAATTAGTACCCAGTTAGCTTCATATTGTTAAGTGTAACCAATAGTAAAGACACACATTAAGCATTTGAATTTCTATCATGAAGGAGGCATTTATGAATGTGAAGAAAGGAACATCAAAACCTTTATTTACCTTTTTTTTTCCCTCCAAATCATAAAATATTACTTCACAAAGCATGTAAAAATACCCAATTCTTCCAATTCTAGCAATTCCCATTAGAAATAGGTACAGTTGTATCACTACTAGAAGAATTAATTAAAGAACACATACAAACCTAATGGACCTGCAACCAAGTTAGCAGGTTGTATCCAGATGCAGTAATTTGTCATTGTATCATTCCCTCTCACAGGGCTCTTTACACTGGGCTTAATTCCACTAGTATTACAACCATAGTCTGTCATGGTATGGGTATGACATATCCATATCCATAAAATGTCCCGTTTGTGGAAGAGTAGTTTTTGCTTAAGTAAAAATGAAGTACCTGAGTTATAATTCCAAAATGCATTTATCTACAGTCACGTTTTTAAAAAAAGACAGAAGTGTTCAGGTTCTGGTAAAAAACTATGTGGGCTTAATTTAAAAACTAAGTCTGACAAAGAAACTAAACCCAACTGCATTTGAAAATGCATATAAATTTACCAAAACAATAGAAAGGAATTATAACAATGTAAGAAATAAAAATTTAAAAGTTAAAAAGGATTATACAAATAGCATGCTTTTATGTTCATTTGAACTACGTAATACAAGGAATTACAGTTTGAAAACTTACTGTAATTAGATCCTGAAGTTAAAATGCTTAGCAGAAATTCAATGTACATTTAAATGCTGAAGCTTTACCATTCCATTACATTCATACTGCTTGAGTTTTCATATTGATAAAAGCTTCTCCAATGCAAATTTATCCATTAATTCTGAGGATCACACTTGTCACCCAAGAAATAACTCTAAATTATACTCAAGAGTCTTCTTTTTTTCTATAGGAAATAAGAATAATCTTATATCATATCAACAAAGGCACCTGGCCTACTGCAAAAATAAAAAAAAACTTGTCCATTACTGTTTGTCATGTTTGCCTGTGAAGGGTCTGAAAGTTGTTTTTTTACAGTACAGTCAAGCATTTGGATTAAATTAATATTCATTTTCTAGCTGCAAATAAATCCCACTGTACTGCCAGTAAAGTTTTCTTATATTTTAACATTATTCACCAAAAGCTCCATTCTTCTCAGTTTCCGCTTATTCTTTGGCATTGGCTTGTCATATAAGCCATTTTTAAGGAGATGCTCCTTGCTGTGATGGACTTGGGCACCATGCTGAAGCTGGAAAGCACACAAAGCTTGAAGTGGACGGAGTATAGTCTGTAGAAAGACAAAGGGGTGTGAGTGAGACAAGAACCCCACTATTTTAGTAAGCTATTTTAGAGACATCAGTCATTCCAGGGTTTGTATTCAAGGACTACTTTAAAATGAGATCAATATAATTTGGATTATAAATGCTAATAAAATATAACCTTTGGAAACACAGAGGACACAGCTAAGTAAGAGATGTACTAAAAAGAAGACATATAGTAAACATACATCCAACTACCTGCAGTCATCCCTTACTCCTTCCTTGGACCCAATCAATCCTGACTTCAGCTCCAGTCACATTACTGGAAGTTATGGCTTAAACTTGACCTTCGCAATGGACTATAATTAATTAATGTGGCACAGCCAACAAGCTGTAATAAAATAACTAACAATAACTAAGTTGTTTGTGCTTGCATGAAAATACCTCGGGGCAGGGTTGTAGAAAGATAGGAGGGACTCATAATCAAGGCAGCTGGACTGCTATCCTGGAGAACGGACTGTACCCCTGTTTCTGCCCAGTGATGTTATTATATAAGACTACTGAAGCCACACAAACCAAATCTATCTCAAGCAGTTCCTAACTGAAGGTTCTTCATTTCCTGGTTGCCCGACTCAGTATCATAGGACCTCATGCAGATGTGTAAAGCAATCACAAATGTAATTACAATTAGCAGGGGCCGAGTTTCAACCAAGTAAACTATGACTCTTCTGAGTACACAGGAAAATCAAGTGACTTATATTGGGCATCAAACCAAGTGCCCATTCTTAAGTTCCACAGTTCTCAACTTCAATTCACCATCTGAAACACCAGCAATAGCACTCAACTAATTCAGAGAGGGTATTAAAAAGTGTTAAGAATGCTTATGAATGTCTTGGCTATTACAGCATTTACTGAAGCACCTTTGAGAACCTGGTAATTTTGTCTTTGAAAAGTAGGCCAGTCCAATTGTGAGTGGTAGGGATAAAACAGAATATAGGACTGGGAACTGTAGACACTAACAAAACATTCACTGTAGACCTGAATAACACATATGTCCTAATGAAGGAAAAGCCTGCCAATGCTGTTCTAGCACACCAAAGGAAAAAAGCAAGTATGCAAACCCTACTTTAATTTCAGTAATTTATAAGTTGTCATAGGTTTAACTTCTACAATAAGTGATTACCCTATTGTAACATAAAAGCTGCACTGTCATAAAAGATACACAAGTTTCTAGAAAAGTATCTTAATGCAGTGTTCCAATTTCTGAGCAATATTTTCTTATGTGGCCATACACTTTGTTCCAGTATGGTTCTAAATGCAATCAATTTCATGTTGAGGTGACTCTCTAGTGTCACAGAGGCAGATACAGGCGTGGCATAATCTACACTATGCCAGTTGCAGAAGCAATTTTTGACCTGGGAACCTTTCTTAGTAGGCAGAGGTCAAGTACCAAAATATTGTCTGATGGAGAAGAATATGAGCATCTCACGGTGGACACCAGAACGTAGTGAATGACCTTTAAATCCCTTTCACAGACTCGTTTGCACTACATTCTGGGCACACAATGAGATTGCAGACCTAGGTCTATGTTGCAGCACTACTCATAGGCCTTTTTCAAAAGGCTTATTAAAGTGGTATTATGAATGTCAGCAACAAAAGATTAAGAAGGACATTATCTTAATAACCTCTTCCATCACAGGCTAGAGGGGTCATACACTGGAAGGAAAAGGCTAATGTCCAATTAGTATTCTTTGACCTGGGATAAACTCAAACTCAAGTACTGTGAAGTCCCAAATTCCTCCAATGACACAAAAGAGTTGTGAGCTGGCAGGTAGAAGACATACCCCACAGGGTCACATTCCATGGTTGCAAGAGTGCAGGAGGACAGTGGGACAGGCTTAAAAAAGCATTTAATCTTCCAAGTTAGCTGTCAGGGGTATTCAGATCATCTCTGCCATCTAGTTTTTGTGGAAAACAAGTTACTACCTTCCATTCAGTAATATACTGAATTCCTTGTCTCCAACTGGATCAGCTTTTGTGTTTTTGAGAGTCAAAGATCACCTTGGTGTGCTTTGACTTCAGAGGATCATTTTAAAATATAGATCTAGTAAAAAAGATCATGGTTATATGACTCCAGTAAACATTCCAAGACCAATGCATGTTAAAAAGGAATGAATCCTACCTGACTCTTTAACGAAATAAAACTGTTTAGAATGTAGCACCAGTTATTCACAACATTTGTCAATCCAGTAATTTTAAATTCAGATCTTAGCTGAAGATGTGATTGAAAAGAAAAATTAAGTAGAAGAAGGAACTGGAGTGCTGAGTTAAAAAATGCATAAAAGGTACAAGAGAAAAATGGTGAACAGGAAAAAAAAAAAAAAAAAAAACAGAAAAAAAAAAAAGGAAAAATGATGGAAGGGAGAAAAAAATACAAGAACAGGTGAATCAAAATCCTGAGATAAATAAACCTGTAGACAGCACAATGAGAACTCATAAAAGTGGAAGTGCTTGGGGAAAGCACCACACAACTAAAGAAGAGGAAGAAAACCCACCAAAAATAAAAACAAAAAAAAAGATGTAAAAAAGACAAATTAAGGACATAGGTTGGAAAGGTCACAGTTGTTTTCAATAAACGTTCTATTACTCCATACATATAATAGGTTATCAGGGTAAAACTGGTCTGTAAGATAAGTAGCCAACATTCAGACTTGATGGACTTTGCAGCACAAAATACAATCTGGTACAGGACACGATCTGTCCCTAACTGGCACTTTAAATGTCATCTTGAATAGTGTTATCTTCACACAACACTTAGTGGCAAAGGAGCCAATCTCATTCCATCATGGGACAGAACAAAAAATACCATACTACAATTTAACATACTGAAAAGAGGAGTAGCAAAACAATTCTTCAAGACCTTTGTATGTAACAAGTTTCCTCAGCAATCTGACAGCAATGTTGAATAAAGAAAAAGAAAACTGTAGAGACTTTTGGAACGTGACTAGAAAGAGTGACAGGAATCTGAACATACTAGAGCTAATATCAGAAGAAAAATCTGATGAGAAATAGTTCCTTTTGGTACATTATTGTTTTCGTTTGCTATGCAACTAAACCATTACAAAGCTAAGATTTTTACTCTCAAATGTGACATTAATAGATAAGTACCTCCACGGTCCCTCTACTATTCACAAAAGAAAAACTCAGGTGTTTATAATTACGTACCTCTTGTATACTCAAATTTTTTTCCATGATAGTAAGAGCAACAGCTGCACATTCAAGCGTAGACAGACAAGTGTTTGTTGGCTGTGTACGAATTACATATTGACTTGAAATGCTGGGTTTTAACTGCACCTGAAAGATGGAAAACAATACTAAAACAAATAGATCAGTATAGAAAACAAGATAATTCTTCCCTACTCTAAGCAAAATGCAGCTCCTTCCCCTCTGCAGTGGGTTGCCTACTTTGCTTTTTGCTCAGTAGCCAATGACCTTATGCTACTGTAAAGGATAAAACTTGTAACACCCGTGAGTTACCATCAGAGACAAGAACTGCACAATTGTTATTGTAGAAACACATAAAGAAAATACAATTGTTTGTTCAAGAAAGACTGAGTGAAAATTTAGCAAGTAATGTCAGTTGCCAAAGGTATAACAAAAATAAAAATATTTACCTGTTTGTTTTATTGCACATTCTAACCACACACACAATCCTGTACAATGTACAAATACTGTACAGTCATTGACACTATTTACTTGATCATGACAGCTCCCTGCTACAGTTTGTCTCCTCAGCTTCTTTCAACAATCACACTTTTTACCTTACTCTTTGCTACAGAAAGGCACAGTATCTAAATAAGAGATTCTTAGTCACCTAAAACACAGCAAGGGCAGCCTTTGTCTATCACAAACTGGACACTCATCAGATGACTGACCATCTATCAGAAACTAGGTACAATCACTGAATGAATAAAACACACAGTGCGGAGCTGTGTCAACTTAGAGAATAAATTAATTGGTAAGACAGAGACAAAATAATATAGAAAACAAACCAAATTAATATAGTTAACACATATTTCAGACATGGGAAGAATATCTTCTTGAAAAAAAATTGCCTACATATATGAAATATTTACTGTTCACGTATGCAACTGGGTAAAAGGACAATTTCCCTCATTTTCAGCCAACATGTCTAAAACTTGCCTTGCCTTTTGTGGAGTTGTTTCAGGTATAGCAATAGTCTCATCAAAGATGAGTTAAGGAAATGTTCCTCCACCGTTAATGTAAAAAAAATCAGATCCTTTACCCCTTAAATCACACTTCAAAAACTCAGAATAAGTATACATAAATAACATGTTTAAGTACCTTTCAAAACAACCACTATATTTCATAACCACTTCTCCATAAAAGGATAAAGATACTATGATACAACCATTTATTTTTTTAGCTGTCAAAAGTAATTTGCAAATCCTATGAACACTTTGGAATAATTTCAGCTACTAACAAAATACTGCAAAGCCTATTTAACAACACTCACCAAAATAAACAGTAATGTAAGACAGAAGATGTAAACCATCTCAACCAATTCAAACTAGAAAGAGGAATTTAGATAAGCTGAATGCAATTACTCATTGGAATTTAGCCAAGACACTGAAATTAGTGTACCTATTCTCTTTATAAGTGCAAGGGAGATGGGGGCTGTTTCCAAGCCATCAGAAGCATGATGCAATTGAATTTCATTTCTATGTGTAATTCAAGGCCAGCATTTCCAAAAGCTTGAATGTCAGCAATTCTTACAAATTGTTGCATTAAATTAATAAACACTGGCTTCTCTGCCAACACATCACCCTCTTAGCAAATGCCTTAAGCATTTACACAGGGTTTGAACCCCAGTGAAAATAGTGACCCTTCAGTATTTCTCAGGGCTAAGTTCTTCTTTCATGACCTGCTTTGGAGATACCACAGGCTAGTGACAACTCAGTTGATCCTGTTCAGCTGTTCAGAACTGATGGAAGCAAAAGTGTTGCGTTAGTGGGGTCAAAGACTTGCTGTTTGAAATTTTACAAAGTAAGTCAGTAAAGACAGGCATCTGATTTCTGATCTTACTTTAAATATTACGACTACAGGTCTTGCAGAATGCTGTAAGTGCTATCCTCAGTCCTCCCTTACTGACAATACCCTTTTTACCTTTTCTATGATGATTTATTCATCATCACTTTTACTAGCAGAACACAGCGTAACGCAAAATTATATTTGGAAAAGAGTGCATTCCTAGTAGCACAGAAAGGCTATAAAGTTAATACACCTGTCTCACAAGGCACACTCAACAATTCTTGGTTTGTTCTGCATTCTGCGACTAGACTACAGGCACCTCCAAAGAATCAAAGAAACAACATATCCTTCTATGGCTTTTATGAAAAACCTAGGACTTATTTTAAGAACCCTTCCTCCAAATTTGTGTTCGGGAATTAATGTGCTCAGCTCTCAGACAATGAAATAAGCAAGTACTATCTGTCATCCTGCTTATCATAGGCAATAGTTGTTTACATGTATAATAGATTTCTTCCAGAAAACATACCATAAGTTTGTTGGGTTTTTTTTAAAGGAACTCAAAAGACACCAAAAATACAGAGTAAGTACAAACACATTCTGCCATCTCACCCATCATTCTTGAAACTAAGAAAAAATTGCTTGTAAGATGCTGAAGAAGAGCACTCTCTGTGTGCTACAGCAAAACCAATCTCAGACAGAAAAGGCAGCGAGATATGGAAAAGATAATTGGTCCAGTTGGCACAAGCAACTTTTACCTGTAAGTCAAAACTATTTTCGATATTTTGTAGAAATGAAATTACCATTTTGACAGAGAAGGTAGTCTGGGTTGATTTAGTCTCAGCACGCTACTGAAATTTAAATCACGAATATAAATAAGTTATTTTGTTCAAAATCTTGGCTTTAATTTAAAGTGACATCTTAAGAGCACTCTGTTTCTAAATACTAGAGGGAATAACTGCCATGCAACTGTCACAAATGGATAGCCTGAAAGAGTTCAGAGATGTCACAAAAACCTTTGCTCACTTTGCATGTCTTTGCATTTAATATTTAGGCATATTAATGATGTTTCTCTGTATTGTCCACATAAAATGGAGAAACAAGTCGCACATTATATTGTGACTGTAAGGTAAACTTGAAGATACTTGTGCAATTTCTAGGAAATTACAAGATATTTTGCACATTGTCTTGGTCAATTTCCAGTGAAATTAAATAAAAATAGATTAATCTTCTATGCACTTTCAAGAATGCCCTTTGCTTCTGGAACCAAAACAACATCCAGACTTCAGTGCTGTAGTGTATTACATGCTAAACATAAATGGTCCAAAGGAATTCAGTAGAGCTAGTCACTGAACAGTTTAATGTTCATCATCTGGATAAAATCCTACAGGATGTCTCTTTGTTACATGACTCTGACAAATTACACCTCTTTTAAAAACACCACCTCTGTATTTCATTACGTGTCTTTCCCGCTATTGTGTAAACAAATTTGTAAGTATGTAAATATTCTGTAATTTGATTTACAGCAAAATAATTGAGAATGTCACAACTACATTCTGGGAAATAAAAATTTTTACTGTTTCATATTCTGACCTTTTTAAAATATCTTTTTCATGAGGATAACTCAGATTCTACGGATTATTTCTATACTGTGTTCTTTTGTTCTCATTTTCAGACATAGTTGATTCACAAGAAGAGGAATTAAATTCCTAAAGGAATGTTGCCATTCACAGACATTGTTACACCACAGTTCTACTGAAAATTTTGGGTAAAAAACCCAAACAAACAAAAAACCCCAACCAACCAACAATACAAAAACAACAAAAAAACCACACAAAACACCCAAAACCACCAACAAAAAAAACCAAACAAACAAAACCAGAAGAAAAATTATTTGGGGGAAAAATAAAAACAACCTTCACAAGTATATGCACTTTCCCCATAACACCATTGCCAAACTTAAAGTTTGTTGAGTCCTCCTATAGTGCTTCAACCAAATTTGTTCAACAGAGTTTCTTTCCCAAAAGCTGGGCAAGGAAACAATGAACATAAAAAAGAAATACTGCCCTTAAAAAATAAATGAGAAAAAAGGCAAAGCTGTTATGAGCATACAAGATAACACTACTTTTTCCACTTCTAAAAAAAATGTGGTGAACTAACCAGGGCACAGAAAAAACATTACTGACAGCATCATCTATCTGCAGATGACATATTTTTTACATACCAAGCTCCACACTTTGTAATTTAGCTTGCCTAAATACTGGAGGATTTGATACAAACACATGAAATTCCCATTTACTAAACAGTTGAAAGAACTGCAAGCTAAGTACCTACAGAGGTTAAAAAACTGCAACAAAAATAGATACCTCACTTTTCAAAATATATCTGTAATCTAACCTGTATATCTATATTTATAATCTTCACATATGATACTGTATGAAGCTATAGTAAAATTCAGATTCCTGTCACATTTTAGGGCTGGGCTGACTATTAAATGGAAGACAGATGCTCTCTATTAGGTCTTTTCCCTTCCCAGAAAGGGAAGTGAAAAAGACAAAGGGAGAAAGACTTATGGTTTGGAAAGAAATAAAAACATTTTTAATGAAACAATAACAATGAAGAAAAATAAAACACGTATAATCATTTTAGTAAGAAAATAATGAATTATATAAGAATAAATAGAAAACCAATCTTGAGCTTTCCTGATGATGGTTACATTACCACCACTGCTGTGGGGCAGATAGTGGGAAAGTCCCAGACAGGACTCAGAGGCAGACAGGAACTGGATTAAGGGATATGCAGATTAAGAGTGAAGGTAGAAGAATGGACAGAGTCCTCCTCAGATGCTGGTCATGGAAGACAAGAGCTTGACCCTTATAATCCCTCAGCTTTATACTGAGCATGATGTGTATGGGATGGAATAATTAATTTGGTCAGTTTTGGGTCACCAGTCTCGTCTGCTCCTCCCCACAGGTTTGACCCTCTTACATCCTTTTGTTTACAGCACTCCAACATGTCAGATAAGAAGTTTAGTAGAACCAAGCAGTGACCTTGGTTTCTATAGGAATACGTAGCAAGCAAAAAGCCTTTCTGCATACCATTTGTATCATTACCTTAGCAATAACTGTAAACATTAAGCACTACCAGTTCTAGGAGTAGACACGTTCTGAAAAATATGCTGTTAACTTTAGAAACTACAGTCACTTAGAAGAGATGTAACTGAAAAGTAAAACAACTAAAGGAAGATTGGTTCTGTCCTAGTTTAAATAAGGCCAATTCCAAAGCACAACTTTTATTGCAGGAGA